ATGATCAGAAACAACAGGAGAAATTTTATGCTCATTTTACACAGTTGTTTTCCTTTAATATAACAGGCAGTCTTTTCATATCGCAACACCCCACTTGACAAATATGACACACTTGGAAAAGCTTCACATTCTTGGCAACCTTCTATTGTTAAGGGTTTAGGTTCTACGGAACGTTTAAAAGCAGTGACAAGTATTTTACTTTGTTACTTCTATGAATTGCAGGTTATATTGGAAAACTGGCTTCAGAGAGGGAAATTACACAGTGCTGTTCCTGAACAGGCAGACTATACCCAGTCTGTTAAAACCTGGGTTTTAGAGATCTAACAATGGAAACCGCCTGGCAGCAGTGGCACCCGAACGTTTCTTTGTGGGGTCTGCCCCAGCTCCGAAAGAAGTGGAATTGAGTGTCAGCATCTCCTGAACTCAGCATTCATTCAGCAAACATTTCCTGGGTGCAAATCTGGGAGCCGGGTCCTCAGTAGTTGTTGGAGGGCACAGATGAATAACACCCAACCCTGCCTACCAGAGGTGCCCGATAAAGAGAGGACGGCAGGGTTAGCTCATCACAGCACGGCAGTCACAGAAGGCGGTGCGTGCAGACAGTCCACGGAAGCACGCGTGTTCAGACTTCACCCCGGACCATCAGCCCCTGCAAGGAAGCAATGCTGCCTGACTTATATCACCAACCGTCCTGGCACCTTCTCAGCACAAGACAGGGCGGCTCCCAGGATCGGAAGATTTTGTGCTTCAAGCCCAGAAGGAAATGGCTACATTACCTGGAGGGGACACTGTTTCCTCACTAACCTCCTAAATCTATTTCTCAAAGGAGTAGAAACAGGCATCTTCTGAAGAAAGCAAACCATAGCCAGAGCGCTGTTACTCGTGCTGGTCAGGATCCCAGCACAAAGTGACCAGCACATTCCAAAGGGGTGATTAAAAGGAGATTACCAAAGGCACTGTTAGAACCTGTGGACAGGTTAAAAGGGAACAAAAGAGACTGAGAAGGCACCCAGGGGCTAGTGACAGTGGTCCCTCGGCTCTGGGGGCCAGGGGAGGGGCCGCTGCCAGGGAGACGCTGCCTGGTGGGTGCTGTGCCCTCCATCACAGCCTGGCCGGCAAGGAGCTGGAAGGACATCCACCCACCCCTCTCTCCTCGCTGGGCACTCCGTCACTGGACATCAAGGATGGGCCAGACGGTGCAGTCCTTCCAGGCTGCCCCCGGCTCAGGGCAGAGCCGGGGGGACACACAGTAGGGCAGTGGGGAAATGCACACCCCACCAGTGAACAAACTATGAATTCTCAAGATTTTCGAGCCTCTACTACTCGCCAGTACAAGGGTTGGTAGTGAAGGCACGAACAGTGATGGCAGGTGATTTCTCGGCCCCGAGGAGCCCTGCGGTCGGGGGCGATGGCGACAGCCAGGCGACCCCAGCTCCGCAACCCACCCCCGTCCAGTCTCCGCCACCACTGGCGGGAGCGTGGAGACGATGGACGGAGCTCCACCCATCGTTCCCCAGACCCGACCGGCTCCAAGGGCCTGTAACTTCCTTGCCTTTCGCAGGCAGGTGGTCCGGGGCGCTCCCCCGACGTGCGCACGTGTGTGTGGATGGGTGTTGTCGGCTTAAAGGAAAACACACAACCTGAGAACTGAAACTTTAAGTTCTATTCAGGGTCCTATGGGAGACTACAGCCCGGGAGACAGCCTCTCAGTAGCTCTGAGGAAACTGCTCCCGAGAAGAAGGGGGAGAAGCCAGTCTATATATGATTGTTGGCCTGGAAAAAATGTGTAGTCAAGCACACATCTTGGTAAAAATCACTGCTAGTCGCAGAGAGAAGAGAACTCGAGTTAATGATTTAGTGCTTTTCTACGTAGGGGAAGAGGCAAGAATTAAAATCTTCCTGAGATAGACATGTAACTACCTAAGGGGCCTGTTGTCCAAAGCACAGAGGGCCTCGTCCTGATTTCACCCCGAAACCCTCTCCAGGTGCCCCGCTGCCAGCGACCGCAGTGGCTGACGGCTCAGTCCTTGCAGAGCTGGGTGCTCAGCAACCCTCCCTGTTCTTTGGTTACAGTGGTTTTTTTTTTGGGGGGGGGTGGTATCACAGAGGGAAATGACAAGGCATATCAGATAGTTTGATTGTTTTCCACAAATACCCACAAGCCTCCTCTCCCAGGACCTCCACTGGATGTTTATGTGCTGAAATATCTAAGCGGGCCAGGAGAGCCGGCAGCTGAAGGGCACGGCTGCCCCTGGGCTCTGAGTCCTGCGTTCTTTCTCACCACATGTCTTGGGGAAAATTCTTCTCACTTTTCCTTTTAGGGAAGAAAATCACGTATAAACACTGCCCAGGAAAGTGGGAGGCAGGGGAGGAAGAGGGATAGGAGTCCGGCATGTGTGAGGCCATGGGGCCCATGTCCAGGAGGACAAACCAGCTGCGGGCCACGTCAGCGCAAAGAAGGGTGGAAATCATCTGTGAGGTGGCTTTTCTCTTTTCCTAAAGAGCCCTCCAGGAGGTGATCGTTACTCCAAAGCTTTCCTGCGCCCCTGGGTTCCACCCGCCGGCTTCATGGGGGCTGTGTGTGTGCTCCATGTGGGCAAAGGGGCGGCAATATTCACATCCCAGAAGAGAGGAGGGATGAAGAGACAGCAAAGGAGGCTATGATGCCCCATGATAGTCACGTCTGGTGATGCAAGATGGAAAAGGAAAGAATAATTGCTTTAGAGAAAAGCACATTTTTCCAAGACTTTCTGATATTAACCCAAACCCTTTTATCAGTTAACTCTAAGCACAATTAGGTCCGAAGACAAACAAGCCACTTGTCACTGTAGGGATAATTTCTCTTGAGAACATTGAAAGCAATTTTTAAAAGTAATGATGTATTTAAAGGGGAACCGTCAGGTCAGAAATTAGACTTTTAAAAAAATGTTTTGTATCTCTATTTTTCTACCTTACAGTGCTAAGCAAACCCTCATAAAAACCACTTGTTTGTCGACATTTCTGTTTTGTACTTCGGGTGCAAAGGACCTGATCTCTACACACCCTTCTGATACCAACAGCTCTATCTCTGTGCCATCAGTCGGGAGAGGCTTGGAGGCAACGGCCCCATCCTTCAACTCCGGTGCTTCCGTGGGAAGACAGGCCACCCACTGCCTGGAAGACCCGGTCCTTCCCCACAGCACACTCACGGGGGTGTCCCCCAGACCCGCACTGTTAGGTCCACATAGCACCCACGTTCAGAGAACAGGAGAACAAACAGGCAGGCGAGGCCCCATAACACAGCCATCTGTGTGCAAGGAACCGAAGTCAGCTTGCAGGGAGCTCTGGGCTCAGCCCCACAAACGCCCCACACGTGCTGCAGAGATTCCGCTGCCACCCTCCAGCATCCCCGCCAGCCTCCAGCCCTAAACCCTAGCATGGCCCCTCCTCAACAGCCGACCGTAACCCACCAGGACTCACACAGGCTAAACGTGCAAATGTGCGGGACTGAGTCCCCAGAGGTCGGACCCGGAAGGCCACGTGGATCTCAGGGACGGGGTCAGGCCTGGCCAGAGTTGGCCCCAGTGGAGAGCGGGGACGGCAGCCGAGAGTTGGAGGGGCAGGTGACGCCGAGAGCCGGGGCAGGCGCTGGGGTCCAGGGAATCAGCCCTGAGAACCAGCTGATGGGGGAAGAGCCATCGGGAAGGTCTGAGGCTCCGGGCAAGTGCTTTCTATCCGCGACATCGTCTGACTGCTCCTAACCTGGGGCGGGGTGGTGCGGGGTGGTAAGCATTACTGCCCCCATTTGACGGGTGGAAAAACTGAGACTCTGCTGAGTGACCTGCCTGAGGTCCCAGGTGGTCAGTGAGCAAAGAGAGCCGAGACCTGAGCTCACCTAAAAACCAGGGTCCCATTCAGGTCGATCCGGCTGAACTCCCAGCCAGCAGGGTGAGGCATGACTCCAGCCCACCCCCCAGGGCTTTATTATTAGGGACTCCTGACATTTCAAAAGAAACTGTGGGTGCCAACAGCGAATTTTAGGTATCTCACTAGAAAAACACCCTGATCGGGCGCTCTCCCCATAAATCCAGGGCAAAAACGGGGCTCTCGTCAGTCAGGGAGCTTCCCTGACCATAGGGTGCCCCAAATGTCCCATAACTGAAAGGAGGTGGCAGGACACCCAGCTAAGGAGTCGGGAGATGGGACTCTAGGCCCCCGGGCAGGCCTGTGGGGGTCACTGGGCTGCTCCCGGGTCCTGGTCCGGCCGGTACGGCAAAGAGTGCCATGTACTACAGGAACCGTGCAGCAGCGCAGCCTTTAGGTTCAGAAGCAGAGCAGCTGACTTCACCCCCCTCCCACTGCCCCAGGGACAGCCGACTTCACCCCTCGACACCCCAGTCCTCACACCTGTCAAGGGCAGGGTGAGCCCTGCCTTGCAGACTGGCTGGAACCCAGGGAGACGGTGCAGGAGGGCCCAAGTGGTAGTGGGCTTCCTTCCACAACACCTGGCTTTGTCCTCCCAATTTGCCTAAGACAGACGCCCCATGAGCTCCCTATTCTGAGAGGGGCTTTAAGGGCAACTCCAAACTGTAAAGGAGACGGCTGGCCACCTCGAGGCTCACACCCCTCAGCAAATGGGATTCTGCGTTGGTAGGAAATTTTCCCCATGGTAAATATTTAAGTGAATGACCACATTCCAGCCGCTCTCAGGAAAGAAACCATTTAAGAAAATCTTTGAGGAATTCTGTCTAAACGAAAAGGAGCTTTTCCCCGACCACCTAGCTCTGTGCATGTGGACAGCCCCGGGCAGGGCCGCTATTAAGGACAGTGGAGGGTTGGTGCCAGGTCAAGACGCAGACGAAGACCTTCTGGGCTCCCCTGGCCCGACAGCTGCCCCCGACGGCTGAAAGCTGTGCGAGGGAAGTGACAAATTTTAGGGCCTGTTTTCCGTGTATGGGGCAGCAGGGGAGCATGGGAATGAAGAACAGAACAGAATTTCTGTGTATTGTGGTCACTGTTACCAGGTTTCCAGAAGCCATGGAATAACTGGATTCTTTTGCCTCAAGAAGACTCAGAGCAGGCGCCTTCATTCATTCAGTCACTGGGCAAACATGAGCGAGCACCTTCCCTCTGCACGTCCTGTCGTTTCATCTCCATCTGGAGACCGGACGCTGCAGTCAGAGGGTCCAGGGATTGCTGAAGACTTCGAGGTCCCAGCCCCACGCGTGTCTCAGTCCCCACAAGGGAACGGGCATCAGCTGGAAATGCACAAGGGAGAAGGAGGCAAACTTGTCCCGAGTTGCTCGGCCTGTGAGGGTCTGAACCCGGCCCCGTGGCCCCAGCCCTCTGCTGTTCCCACCATGTGGTCCTCGGGCCCCTCCAAGGGGACATGGCTCTTGTTCCCACACCAGCTGTTTGCAAAGTGAGCCAGAGCTCCCCGAGCCGAGAAGCTGGTGTGAGCTGAGTGAAAACTGAGACCGTAAACACCCACTGGAGGCTTAGGAGGACCTGTAAGTATATGTTTTACTCGTTGATGCAGAGGATGGAAGCGAATACATGAGGGATCGAAACAGCAATGTGCCTTCCAGAGCGCATGGTCCAACCCTCCCACTGTACAGGTGAGGAAACCGAGTCCTTGAGGGGCTTCTCGACCTCCACACTTTTGCCACACCAGGCCGGGTAACTCTGTTGTGAGGGGCTGCCTTGTGCACTGCAGGCGGCTTGACAACATCCCTGACCTCTACCCCTGGATTCAAAGGGCGCTCCCCGGCCATGACAACCAAGACGGCTTCAGACGTTGTCACATTCCTGGGGGCAGTTGAGAAGCCAGAGTTGAGGCAACAGAACTGTTTACCAATAGAGGCAAGACCAGAAAGCAGGTCTGCCAGGCACCAGGCTGGTGTTAGTACTCAAGGCAGGGCTGATCTATAGTCCATATAAGGATCGCTACAACTCAGCAACAATGACGACAGCAACAACAAAGCTAACTTGAAAACAGGCAGAGGACCTGACTAGACCTTCCTCCAAAGAAGGTACATAAGTGGACAAAAGCCACATGCAAAGATGCTCGGCGTCAGTGATCACCAGGGAAACGCAAATCCAAACCACAGGGAGGGCTTCCCTGGTGGCGCAGTGGTTGGGAGTCCGCCTGCCGATGCGGGGGACGCGGGTTCATGTCCCGGTCCGGGAAGATCCCACATGTCGCGGAGCGGCTGGGCCCGTGAGCCATGGCCGCTGAGGCTGCGCGTCCGGAGCCTGTGCTCCGCAACGGGAGAGGGGCCACAACAGTGAGAGGCCCGCGTACCGCAAAAAAAAAAAACACAGGAAGACACCACCTCACACCCACCAGGATGGCTGCCATCAAAGGACAGAAGATAACACGCGTTGGAGAGGATGTGGAGAAGTTGGGACTTTTGTGCACTGTTGGTGGGAATGTAAGTTTGTGCAGCCACTGTGGAAAACAGTATGGAGGCTCCTGAAAAAATTAAACATAGAATTACTATATGATCCAGCAATTCCACTCCTGGGTATTTACCCCAAAGAATTAAAAGTAGGGTCTCAAGGAGATATCTATACACCCTTGTTTATAGCAGCACTCTTCACAAAAGCCAAAAAGTAGAAGTAATCTAAGTGTCTATGGACGGATGAAGGGGTAAACAAATGTGGTATGTACACACAGTGGAACGTTATTCAGCCTTAAAAGCGTAAGAGATTCTGACACCTGCTACAACATGGATGGACCCTGAGGACATTAGGCTCAGTGAAATAAGTCAGACACGAAAGGACAAATACTGTAGGATTCCATCATGCGAGGCTTCTAGAAGAGCCACGTGCACAAAAACAGAAAGTAAAACGGTGGCTTCCAGGGGCTGGAGGAGGGGTCCATGGGGAGCTGCTACATAACGGGTACAGGGTTTTCACTTTTAAAGATGAAAAGAGTTCTGGAGATGGTCGTACAGCAACGTGAATATACTTAACACTACTGAACTGTACACTTAAAAATAGTTAATATGGTAAATTTTATGTTACACGCATTTTGTCCTAATTAAAAATAAAATAAAATAAGAAACAGGGTTGGAAGTGATGTCCTGGGGGCAGGAAGCTGTTGTGTCTTTCTTTTCCCCGTTCGTGGGCACGCCACCTTGTTTTGAGTGGCCGCGTCCCCCAGGAGCCTCCTTGTTGTCCCGTTGCACCCCAATCCACTGCTCTCAATATTTTTGCTCTGTGCCTCTAAAGCTTGGAGAGGAAACACCTGTGAGGTACAATATTTAGTAACTAGGGATCTTTAAAGCACAATGGTTAATTTATTGGATTAAATTGTGAATATCAATGGGCAGGACAAAGCCTCTGGACAAGAAAAACTTAAAATCAAAACAAAAAAAAGAGAAAAATGAAAACCTCTTCTCCTGAGCCTACTGGCTCTGGCTTTTGCAGATGACAGAAAGAAGCAGAATCAGCAGAGGAATTATTAAGATATTTTAACATTTTTGTTGATATGTTGGAAGAGTTCTCTTTGAGTTAGATTTGGTCCAGGGCATCAGGCGAGTCCTGTGAAGTGAGCCACGCTGGGGGTTCTCAAAGTGGGGGCCTTGGCCAGCCTACCAGGACCACACTGGAAATGCAAGTTCTCAAGCAGCACCCCTGACTACTGCTTTGGAACCTCTAGGGTAAGGCCCGGCGATCTCTAGCTCAACAAGACCTCAAGGGGATTCTGAAGCACCTGAAATGTTGAGAACCACGAAAGTGCCAGAGAAACTACAAAATCTCCTGAGACTATTCCGACCAAGGAGGTCCTTATTTTGCCCCAAGTGGCTGCAAAGGGCCACAAAAGCTAAAACACAGAGGAAGCATGAAAACACCTGGCAGTGATGGTAAATAAATACTGTGACTCGTGTTGTTCCAGGTAACATTCTCCAGGTTCCGACTGCAGCCCGTCCTGGAGGATTCACCAAAAGCTAATAAGAAAAATAGTGACGACACCACCAGCTTCTCCATTTCTAGTGCTTGGTGGTGCCAGGCCCTGTTCCGGCAGCCTTACACAAGCTGGCCCTCTCAGCTCCCACATAACCCTGGGGTACAGATGCTGTTTTATCCCATTTCACAGATGAGGGCACTGAGGCACAGAGGTTTGGAAACCTAGGCAGCACCAGATCCAGGACTGAACCTGAGGCACATGGTCCAGGATCTGTGCTCTAGGTCATTACCTTATGCTGCTGGAACTCCTTCAGCAGATTTCAAACCACAGGGACCAGCTTTTCCTTCCCCAAACCCTAATTCACACCGTTTCTAGAACTATCTTCGAAAACAGGAATCCAGTCACCCCCTGCCTTGCACGGTTTGTGCACAGGCACAAACCTCTATTGTGAGGATGAAATGCAGTGACGTGCGTAAAGCCCGTGGCACTGTGCCGGGCACGGAGGGCTGAGCTGAGGCTCTTCCTGCAAATATCGAACCAAAGTATAGGCCAGCTAGACCATCATCTGAACACACAGTGAGAATCAACTTGGGAAAGAAACAGGAGAGGAGGCAAGGACAGAACAGGGAGGGAGGGGCTTGGGGGAAGCCCTGCGCCAGGCTCACGTCAGCCATGCGGGTGTCCAGGGCCACAGGGCAGACGGAGGGCGCGAGGACCCCACCTCCATAAAAACCAGTCGAAAGATGAATTTGGCTTCTGTCTCTCTTGCCCTGTGTCCAGTCCGTTCACCAAATCCTGCTGATTTCAACCCCAGTTGATAACGTTCTCGCTTATATTAACCAGTGTCCATCCATCATTTAAATACATGTTTTAAATAAATTGACTTATTTTATTATTTTATTTATTTATTTTGGCTGCATTGGGTCTTCGTTGCTGTGCGCAGGCTTTTCCATAGTTGCAGCAAGCGGGGGCTACTCTTCGTTGCGGTGCGTAGGCTTCTCATTGTGGTGGCTTCTCTTGTTGCAGAGCATGGGCTCTAGGCTCGCGGGCTTCAGTAGTTGTGGCTTGTGGGCTTCAGTAGTTGTGGCTCGTGGGCTCAGTAGTTGTGGCACGTGGGCTCAGTAGTTGTGGCCCGCGGGCTCCAGAGCACAGGCTCAGTAGTTGTGGCGCACGGGCTCAGTTGCTCCACGGCATGTGGGATCTTCCCAGACCAGGGCTCGAACCTGTGTCTCCTGCATTGGCAGGCGGATTTTCAACCACTGCTCCACCAGGGAAGCCCACCAGTGTCCATCATTTAAAAGCCACGCTCCTGCAATGAAAGATCCCAAACCAGCTTTTCCATCCAGGTAATCACGAGTCAGGCAGTGAGAATTCTGCATCTCGAGGACAGCCCTTCCGTCCTCTCTTCCTCGCACTCACATTCTTTCTCCCTGTCACTCAACCTCTCATTCTTTCTCTCTTTATTCCTTCTCATTTGGCTGTTGAAAAGTTGATAGCAAAATTTAGCAGCCAATTTTAGCAACTTTCTCAAATCCTAAAAGGTATTTTTATTCTTCCTTCTTGTGATTATTAATTTGTTATTTACTATTATTTACTTATTATTATTTTCATTATTTCATGTATGATCTAACGTTGTAAGCCACCTTGAATCCTTTCTGGAGTCGAACAAACATAAATAAATAATAGATTCATACTGAATGCAAGACATTCCCTGAAAGTATTTAGAAATAAAGAGAGAGGGAGGAAGTTGTGATATGAAGGCCTCATGATTTTTATTCTTTCCCTAAAAATTACAGCTTTTCAAATATTGCTGGTAAACTGAGGGTTCCACTCACATAGGTCCTCGGGTCTTTGTCTATTAAGAAATTCTATGACCTTCTTGAAACTGAAGGTTTTGAAACACCAAAGCATAAAAGTTGATAGAAGGCACTATTATTTGATGATGGTAACTGCAGCTCAAGTGTAACAGAATTTTAATCCTACAGGGAGGCTTTGGGGCTGGTGAAACCCCCACGCCTTTCACGCTTCCCTAGCTGGCTTGTGTGCTGCACCACAGGGCACTGAGCTGCAATGCCGGGCGTTGACTGAAGACGTTTTGATGAACTCCAGACTGTCTGCCATCCACAGTGGAGCCAGGCCACTGCAGAATCAATCCTGAATCCTGAGGACCAAGGAAACACTGCCGAAGGGAGCTGCCTTTATTTTGTGTTTTTAATTATTGCTGAACTCAGAGGGGGACCTAGATTACTATGAATGTTTTCTCAAAGAAAAGCAAAATCTAATCCATGAAAATAACAGGTAATTATATAGAAAGAGGTCTGAAATATCACCTCCCTCACAGAGCATCTCAGCGCATGGAAAGGCCCTCCATCCTCTCGGGGACGTCCCCTCAGGTGGATCAGTGCCTGTGGGCCGGGCACGTCCAGCCGTGACTACTGTCAAACCACAAGAGAACTACTTCCTCCCCGGACCATACGGATGGCGTCAACTCTGCAGAGGCAGAAAGCAAACCCTCCACAAAACGAAGTGCTCTGTCCCTTTAATTTCTTCTCCTTGACATCAGATCTTACCCACACCACAAGTCACAGGGAAAGGCGATCTTTCATCAAAGCACAGAGGAACCAGCAACGCAGGAGAAGAAACCACACTCACGTGATAATACTTGTAGCCTTCCAGAAAAAGTTTTCTCTCTGTGCCTGTGGACTGCACATTCCCAGGGCTGCTGCCACCAGTGCGGTCCAGCAACCCCTGGGGCGCCATCCAGGGCTGTGTGCCTGCTCTCCCAGCACAGTCAGTAGCCCAGCACCACCAGCCATGAAAACAATCCACACTTAAATTAATTCATCAACTCCTTTGTGCAACACATACAAGACAGGATGCTACTGCTGTGGGGAATCACCTTCCGCTCCAAGGGGTTCACAGCCATGGCTTCTAAGCAGTAGGACGAGTGTAAGTAAGGCATGTACTTGATTTCTGGGAGCAGCCCTTCAGTCGACGTAACTGGGGAGACTGCAGGTCATTGTCGTTGGGAATTACTGACCAGGAGCCAGACGGATGTGGACCTGGCCCCTGCCCCGCGGTGCCAGCGTAGGGCATGTACAAATCACTCATACCCTTGAGTCTCCACTCCCCTGGTGCCTGGAACTCAGTTCCTT